GTTCTATTTAAAATGATGCATCTGTTCCTTAATCTAACAAATTCTAACTCAATACATTCAAAATCACCTGCACCCACAATTTGATAGTGGTAAATAAATAATTAATAATCAAATTTCCATAATTCATCATAGAAAGAAAAACATCCTGCAAATAGCTGTCAATACTCCTATGTGTATTAAAGAAAGACTTAAGGCACCCAGAGATGTATGCCAATTTACTGACAAAGTGACTGGGCAAACACCGGCGCTGTTTGGTTACTTCTACTCCGCTTCCCCACTGTGTCAGGATTTTTGGATGTGATCAATACTCTTGGGATCTAGAGGCAACGTCCAGATCAACCCCTTGCTTTTCTCCTGAGAGGATGGTGGATGCCGTAGCATGTTGTGTCATGTATCTGAACAGTAGGTTGCATCACACAACATGTCCAGATGATGAGGTGAGGGAAGAACTATTGGGGGAGGCCAAATTCACCCAGGGTGTAGACTCCAGTCAGTGGGGTTTGGACCAGGGATGGACCTGGCCCAGGATTATGACATGCAGGTTTCTTTGTATCCGGTTGGATAAAACTATCCACAGCCACCCTATGAGCAGTTATAAATCTCAGCGGTGGGGAATCCCACCCAGCCATCCACCTCCCGGGTATAGAGCCCAGGAATTAAAAGCTTCCCGACTGGTTTATCTGCTGGTGGCCCGCTCCTGAGCCTGTTCATCTCGCTAGCTCAGTTAAAGGGCAGGCTGCATTGCAAAGCTGGACAGTTCTGGTCACAGCAATGTACAGGAACAAGGCCAGGGACGACTTCTTGGCTGACAGCCAGAGCTTTGCGACCGCAGCAAGACATCAGCAGTGCTGTGCTCACCTTGGCCTACGTGGGAAGGCTGGACCCTGCCCTTGAGGATACGCAGCACAGCTGGGAAGGGGGAAGGAGCATCTCAGCATCATTCCTCCACCCCCGTCCAGCCTTTCCCAGCTCTGCCCCAGGATCCAGCAGCCTGGGCACCTCGCTAGCTTTCACCCAGCACCACAGCACTATCTGGCGAGTGGCTGATGGGAATGGGGACTCACCCTGCCACGCCTGTGCGCGGCATCTGTAAGTGCTATGGGGTGAAACGCACAAGGGTTTTAACCCTTCCCCCCAATGTCTTGAGGCCTCAGACAGCGCAGTCAGCCTGGCATTAGCCTCCGCTGTCAGTGCTGCCAAGGAGTGAAACAGGCCCCTTCCGTGCCCAGGCCGCGGCGCTGTGCAGCGGACCCCCCTCGCCAGAGCAAAGGCCCTGTCTCCAGGGGATGAATTACACATGGCCCAGCAGCCAGCACCGTGTGTCTGGGGGAGTTACGGGAACGGCCGCCATCAGCAATGGCTGCACCAGCACTTCCCACTGCAGTGTGTGCAACAGGCAGTCACTGGCCCCAGGACATCTCTGATTTGCTTTGGAAGGGGCTGGGAGCGGATCACGGGCCACATGACATGCTTTCCTGCCCCCAGCACAGTGGGGCAATTCAGTCCCATCTCCAGCCTGGATCTGCCCAGTAGCCGTGACTCCACCTCCTGGCTTCAGAAGGGCTGTGCTGGGAAGAGGTCACACAGAGCACTGGGCTGGGACCCTGTAACTTTCTCATGCTTTAACCCTCTCAGTGTCCCTGCTTTGGTGTCGGTTTCTATCAGGTACTTGTTAATTGGCTGCAGGAAGCCCATCTGCACAGACACGAGGCTCCCCTGGGTCTTTAACATAGCATCATCCCCGCTTTCTAGCTGGTCACGCACAGGATCAATTTACTTGGATGTGGCCATATCAGTTGCCACTTTGTCTGCCCTGAATCAGCAGCCCTGGGAGGGCAGGAGAGCCAGAGGCAGGAAAGGGGGATTTCTAGGGAAAGAGTCCCTGACTTTGGCTCAACTCTTCAGCCAGTGGCATGATCTGCCCTGGACAGGCTTTCAACCAGCTCCCTGCCAAGGAGAGAATGAAGCATGGAGGGGTTAGAGGGAAAGAGAGAGATCTTGCCAGAGAGAGACAAAAGAACAAAAAGAAGAAAGAGAGGAGAGGGAGGGCTGAGCGTTAGAGAGACAAAAGTTATAGGTCTTAAATACATCATTTAAAATACATTGTGCAGGAGGGGGTTAAAATCATCATCATCTGAAGCAACCTGGTAGCATTATTCAATGGTTAGTAACTAGAACATAAAACCCTGTGCCCAGCTCGCTTGGGGGGAAATAAAACATGGAGGGAAAAATGGGCCCTCAGCCATTGTGGCTCCCATCACCAGTCCGAATTTTCCGAGCCAGGATGGTCTCCTTGGAGACCTTCTTGCGATCGCTGGCCAGCCCCAGGAGGCACATGAGATCAATGAAGGCTGTGGTGAAGTTGTAGTGCCAGCCGAACTCGCTGGTGGAGTAATCGTAGGGGAAGGTGTGGTGGTAATTGTGGAAGCCTTCGCCTGGAACGGAAGAGCAGGGACAAGACACTGTAAATGCATCTGAAGCTGGGTTTGAAACCATCACGCTCTAGAAGCCCCTTCCCCAGGCTCGGGCACCATGTCCCCAGAATGGGCCATCTGTGCCGAATGCAGACTGTGCTCCCCTTGGGGCAGGGACAGCCCCGTGATCCTCCTCCCCTTGCAGCCCACTGACTTTGCTGGGAGCTGGCCCACGCCCTGTGCTTAGCCCGGGCTCCGTGTGCCGAGGCTGTGTCTACACGGAGGGTTTCTAGAAAGTCTCCCAATGTTGGTCTATCCCTGGCACAGCTCCATCAGTGGAAGCGCCAGCGTGGGGTGAGCCCGAGCACTGCTACCACTGGGCCATCGACCGTGCTCTGAGCAGGGTGTGACAAGGCAGTGGCGGAAGCGCTGGCTACGTGCGCACTCCCCCAACGACAGGCTGGTGACAATGCACCGGTGAGAGGCCAAGGTGGGGAGAATGTCAGAAAATACCAGCCCTGTCAATGGGACCTGCCTACAAACGGCCAGTCACAAAGGGACAGCGCTCGGAGCCAGGCACGCAGCACCCTGACTGGGCGGGGAAAGGCGGGGGGGGGAGAGTAGGGGCTGAGCAGCCCCTGGTGGCTGTCTGTCCTGCTGCTCTCCCCTCTTCCAACACCAGCTCAGACTCCTCAGCCTCAATTGCCCATGTGTAACATCACCCACCAGCCCAGTCTCCTCTGCACCGAGTCCAACACCAGAGGAGGACCAGGATGGTGCTAAGGGCATGTGAGGAGGCCAGGGCAGGCTGGAGGGGAGAACAAGTGAGGGCTGGTTAATCTCAGCACAGGTCCAGCCAGACCTCGGTTGGCTGTTTATCTGACCCTCTCTTGAAGCTGTCAAATTGGGTGAGAAAACTCAGGATATTTCTGGCATTTCTGTTTGTGCCTGGGCCTCCCCTTATTAAAGCCCTTAAAATGGGCCCCCTCAGAGAGCCTAGTGAGGCTTGTGGGGGTTTCGGATTCCTCCTCCGTCTCCCAGAGAGAAGCCATCTAGCTTTGGCTGAGCTCCTGGTGAGATCTGAAGTGAGTCCTGGCCCTTCTTGGAGGCTCCATCCATCCATCTTCCATCCCCAGAGTCTGAGAAGCTCAGATCCAGAGGGGAACTGTGCAGCTCCAACTCTCGCTAGTGAAAGTCTGGAGCCAGATCCCCAACTCATGTAAATCAGTGGAGTGCTGCCGAAGTCCACAGAGCTACTATACACACGAGCTGAGAATCTGGCCCAGGAAAGCAGTACAAAGCTAATGGTGATTCTGGGCTCATTTTCCCCAGGTCCTCAGCACCTCTGAAAATCAGGACTTGGCTGTCTCAATTCAGAAACCACTGGGCACTTCTGGCTGCGTGTGTCCAGCTATTTCAGAAGCATCATTTCCCAGAGGTGAAAAGAGAGAGCGGGGGGCAATTATCATAACAAACAGGCAGTGAGACCTTCAGGCAGGGCAAATAAATCTCATTTGAGATAAAGAGGTGCTATATGCAGGACACTGGAGAAGATAACCCCACTGCCCTATGTACCCACTGACTAGAGCATGAGACACTCCAGTGAATGCGCAGGTCTGCAGGTGCGTGGGCGAAATCACCCAGATGGAGTCTATGTGCTTCTGGCCTTCCCGTATGTGAGTGCAGGAACATTGGGGTTCCTAGGGTCAGATCCTGATGTAAATCAGGATAGCTGTATGGACTTCAAAGCAATGTAGATTTACACCAGCTGAGGATCTGGTCCATTTTATGTAATTATGCATCTAAAATTTCCACAGTTTTATAAATGGATGTTATTCCTCTTCCCTTCTCTCCCAGACTCTCCTGCACTGTTGCTATGCCCTACTGAACAGCTGCTGTGTTCCTCCCCAGACACAGCTGCATTTCAGTGGCGGGTGCAGTGATCTCTGCCTGTCTCATTCACAGTCAGTTTGTGGAGTGGTTTGGAATTAAAAGACGCCACCAACGTACCTAAGGCTCCAAATGTGACCAAGCGGTTCTCCCGGGGGTTGATGTTTCGATCATAGGGCCGGTTGCCAAACATATGTGCAGCACTGTTCACAAGCCAGGTGGCGTTGAGCACCAGCACGTAGCGCAGGATGGCGGGGAGGAAGAAGCTGTTGCGAAGAGATTCCCCCCAGAAGCACCAGGGCACTAGGGTTGGGAACAGGAAGCACATGGCCACCACAGAAAGCTTGTAAAACCTGCCAGGAAACAGAATGGGGAGAGAGTTAATGGGCGGGTGCATCCCATGGAGGAGCATTGAGGGGCATGGGCAGTTCAGGTCATCTACCAGGGCTGAGTCTCCGGGGCAGGGAAAAAGATGCTAATTTTAACTATACAAAGAAAACAGCACAGAACCAGCCCACCTCTGCCCCGGTTTGACCCCTGGAGAAAAAGGAAAACAAGGGCATTGATAGTGTGGGCACAGAAGAATAAAGGGGATAGGCTGGGCACACAATGAGAGCCACACACCCGCTGGCAGGGGTAAGAAGGACCCAGCAGATGAGCTGGGAATGAAGTACAGGTGCTTTGAAGCAGAGCTGCCAGGCTTCCTAGGGCTCCATCTATCATTATTGCTGCCAGGTCACATTTGTACGAGGGGTGTGGGGAGGTGTGCGACAGCTGCCATCTTGGCTGATGCACCTGGGATTAAGCCAGGGACCTCCAGATCTCAGGGCATGCGCTGCTGCAGCTTAAGCTCTGGCTCCTTACCTGTGGGCTGCAGCAGACTCCTCTCCTCCGTCTGTCAGGGAACCTGTCACTCACACTGGGGGAGGCCTGGCGCTTGGCTGCCCTGGGGAACCGGGCCGTGTGTGCGCGGTGCGGGAGGGGATAGAAGGAGGGAAACCCAATCCCAGCAAGTGAAAGATTGCACAGGGGGAGACTCGTGCAGGGTGTGTGTGTGCGCATGCGCCCCTGCTAAGGCCGCGGCAGCAGGACATGTTTTACACAAGAGGTTGGCACTGGGCCCTCTGTGCCTTTTCTGACCTCACTTCCTCCTCTCCCATTAAAAAAAAAAAAAAAAGGAAAACATGCAATATAGCCCACTGCTGTGCTGGATGGAACTTGTTCCTCATGGATTTCTGCCCAGGTTTGCAAACAATGGCCCCGATGCTCCAAACACACCTGAAGTGTCCCATTGACTTCATTTGGGGCTGGTCACCTGCAGAAAGGATCCGGGGTGACTCACAAGAGGGTTAGTTTTGCTCTGGAGCAAGGGTAGTCAATTATTTTTTGTCAAGGTCCAAATGTCTTGGTCAAGGTCTAGTCAGGTCCAGACTCCAGAGAAAATAAAAAAATAACGATAAGTAAATAAAAGATTTTGAGGTCCATTCAAACGTGTCTGGCGGTCTGGATTTGGCCCGTGGTTCGCCTACTTACTACCCCTGTGAGAGATTCCTGTAGCCGGATGCCATGCCTCAGAGCCCCTTTGGTGCCCCAGTGATGCATTGGTCAACACCTACCCTTCACCTTGTGCCACAATCACCCTATTTTCTTCCCCTACCTCGGCCGCACCTGGCTCACCTCCTCTGGAACATCACCACTTTGTCGGCCTTCAGGTCAGCCATGTCCAGCTTCCGGCCCTTCTCAATGACATCGGGGTGTTTGCGCACCAGCAGCCAGCCAACATGGGAGAAGAAGAAGCCCCGCGTGGCATTATGAGGGTCCGCATCAGTCTCGGAGAACTTGTGGTGGACGCGGTGATCTCGGGCCCACTCGTAGATGTCATTCTGTAATGAACATGGCTGGATGACTCACCAGATCAGCAAGGATAAGAGCTAGGCCACATTTCTCAACTAAAATTTGTTTTTGTTTTAACAGTATTTGGCCAAGTTTAAAAAAAAAATTTTTTTTCACCAAAACATCTCAATTTTTCTTAGAACCTTCCACTTTTATTGAATTTTTTTTTTAAATTGATCATTTTTAGGATTTGGTTTGCCCCTCCTCAGCTGCATTGCTAACTGATTGGAGAGACAATTGGGTGAAGTCATATTTATTGGACCAACTTCTGCTTGTGAAAGACACCCAGAGCTCTTCAGACATTCAGCTTTGCGTAGCTCGAAAGCTTCTCTCTCACCAGCAGAAGTTGGTCCAGTAAAAGATATTACTTCACCAACCTTGTCTCTCTAATATCCTGGGACTAACATGGCTACACCACCTCTGCAAATTACTCCTATTCGTCAGCTTAGCACCAGGGTGGGATTTATTTTTTAAAGTCAAACAGTTTCAAAAAAGCATTTTTTCCTTTTGAAATGGAAAAATTTCAGTTTTAAAAATGTTCAAAAACAAAAAAAGAATCTTTTGGTTTAAACATAATCTCTAGAGAAAGGTTTATAAATAAAGATTGGTCCATTTCAAAACCAGCTTTGAAAATGGTGAAATGTTCATAATTTCATTAAAAATGTTTATTCTGACAAGCACTACTAGTGAAAACGGTTCCCATGTACATTGCCTCTCTCACACAGGAATCCCAAAGCACTTTTGAAAAGCTGGTTAAATCTCATCCCATCCTACAGCAGGGAAACGGAGGCATTATCCAGGCACATTTATGGCACCCGTCACTGCAGAGTCTGAGCACCAACTTAATCTCAATAATATGGGGGATTTCTCCTGACCATCACTCTGCAGGCAGGCAAGTAACGTTATCATCCGTTTTACAGATGGGAAGAGTGAGGCCCATAGAGACTTGCCAAGGTCACACAGGGAATCTGTGGCAGAGACAAAAATTGAACCCAGGTCTCCTGCATCCCCGTCTAGCGCCTTAACCACAAGACCATCCTTCTTGCAGTGAGAGGAAGTGATTTACCTGCAGGACACACAACATGTTAGTGGTAAAGAAGGATACAGGTGCCAGGCCTCAGTTCCAACCACTGGGGTATCCGGACTCCTTTACAGCCCACCACTGGGAGGTGCCAAGTATCCTCAGCATCTCCTGAAGTCAGCATACAGAGGGCGGCATGCAGAGTTGCATGGGTGCACGCCCAATACCCCTCCCCCATCCCAGCAGCACTGAGTCACCCCCTCCCGTGGAAGATGTAGACTCAAGCACAGCTGAGGAGATGCAGCTCTCAGAGGGAAATGTTTCTATAGGAGACATGGTAGAATAATGGAACGCGACTGTCCCCTGCTTCTCTGTTGCATGTGTGGCTGCAGCTGGGGGTCTCACTGCTTCGCTCCAAGGCTGAGAACCTGGGAAGAGGCAAAAGGGGTTCCTACCTGAAAAGCCATGGAGTTGGCTATGGCCAGAAAGATCCTGAGGGGCAAGCTGGCTTTGTAGGACCGATGGCTCCAGATGCGATGCGCTCCTGCTGTTATCCCCAGAGCACTCAGCAGGAAACACAGGAACCCTGGACGCAAGAAGAGGGGGTGTCACAACTGCACCTCAGATAGAGGTCAGAATTCACCCCCTTGGACACTAGGCCTCGTGCCCTTACCTTTTCTGGGATGGAATCCTGGGATTCCCCCACCCTCAGACCAGGCTCTGGGCTACAGTACTCTGTGGATTAACCATGCTTACCCAGCAGGTCCGACCGGGCAGACCTGCGATTCTTTCCTTCGGGAGCTGTGTCCAGTGGTGAACAAAGTGTTGTTTAGCCTTTGTATGATTTAATGGTAGCAGCAGGAACAAAGCACAACATGAGAGAAAAAGGACTTAAAGCAACAAGAAGTTGACGCACGTCTTCATGGCTTCTGATCCCTAAGCACATTCTAAAGTCACGGGGACACAGATCATAAAACCATTCCAACCTACGTCTCTCATACAGCTCTTCTAAGGCAGCAAGGCCCCCAACCTTTGCCCACTTGCAGAGGTTCCCCCAGCTAGCTGCCACCTCCATATATGTCATCCCCTTTTTCCTTCTAAAATATTTTCCCATAAGTAGGGCCCTATCAAATTCACAGCCTATTTTGGTCAATTTCATGGTCATATGATTTTAAAAATAATACATTTCATGATTTCAGAAATGTAAATTTGAAATTTCACAGTGTTGTAATTGTAGGGGTCCTGACCCAAAGAGGAGTTGGGGGGGGTATGTGTGTCATAAGGTTATTGGGGGTGGGGGGTGGTACTGCTAGCCTTACTTCTGCGCTGCTGCTGGCGATGGTGCTGCCTGCAGAGATGGGCAGCTGGAGAGCAGCAGCTGCTGGCTGGGAGCCCAGTTCTGAAGGCAGAGCCGCTACCAGCAGCAGCGCAAAAGTAAGAGTAGAATGGTATGGCATTGCCACCCTTATGTCTGTGCTGCTGCTGGCAGGGCACTGCCTTCAAAACTTGGCACCTGGCTAGCAGTTCCCGCTCTTCAGCCACCCAGCTCTGAAGGCAGTGCAGAAATAAGAGTGGCAATACCATGACCCCCCTAAAATAACCTTGCAAATCCCCCTCCAAAACAACCCTCTCTTGGATCAGGATCCCCAGTTTGAGAAACACTGGTGTCCCACCATGAAATCTGTATAGTAGAGTAAAAGCACACAAAAGACCAGTTTTCACAGTCTATGACACATTTTTTATGGCTGTGAATTTGGTAGGGCCCTACCCATAAGCCTCGGAGCCAGCTGAAATGTAAGGAGGAAGGCGCCTATAATTTGACCATGATCCCCAGAGACTGCAGCATCCCTTTTGCTGGAGGCCTCTATGCCAATCTTCAGGGGGGCCTAGATTCAAATCACAAGAGACAGGCATTGATATCCCCACCCCCTTAAACCAGGGAAGCATTTCAGCAGCTATGCCCCCTGCAGAGCTGGCATTCCTGATACTAGCCCCACTTACTGGATCCCTCGGTCCCTGGCTCCTCACTTGTGCAAGATCCAGTTCGTGCTCTCTCTGTGGTTCTCGTTCCGCCTGCTCATGCTGGTGCTGCTTCTCCTGCTCTGCTCTGGCCTGATACCAGTCAGCAAGCTGCTTGGCCTCCAAGGGCAGCTTTTCTCTCTCAAGCTGCAGCTTCTCCTCCTCCAGCTGCACCTCCTCCACCCCCGCCGCTGTTGATTTGAGAGTTGGGCCATTCTGGGCTGCAAGAGAACAGGAACCCTCGTCTAGGTCCTGGGCTGGTGCTGGTGCCCCATTCTGCCTACAGTCATCATCGTACAGCAAAGACACCAGCTCTGACCTTTCTACCTCGAGTTTAGCTTCCTCTCTTTGCGCAACTTGATTAACTGATCTGTCCCGAGCCGTTCGGAACTTATGCTTCCCTTCTGCCCTTCCCTACTCTCTTCCCAACCCGAACACAAGCCCCTTTTTCTCTTGCTTTTTCCTTCTACAATACTTGTTTTTACTGCTGTTGTCACTTATTGGAAATTCACCACTGTCACAATCATCCCACCAGGCTTCCCCCAATAAGTCACATTTACCGGGCTGGCTGCACGCTCTGACCTCTTCCTGGCCTGAGAGCACCACCTCAGGCCTTCACCTTTCCTGGGGTGGAATCATACAATTCCCCCTTTCTTAGACTGGGCCTGGGGTTACAGCACCCTGTCCATCGGCCGTGCAACAGATCCGACTTGGTTCTGCACCAGTAGTTCTGTCCTTCGGGAGTTTGTGACCAGTGGAAAAGAGAGGAAGAATACTAAGAGGCCAATATGGCTGCATCGGGAGCTCTTCAGTGACCTGAAAAATCAAAATAGAATCCTACAAAAAGTAGAAACACTGACAAATTGCTCAGGAGGGGCACAAAAGGACAGCACTGGCACGTTGGAACAAAAATCTGAAAGGCTAAGACACTACTACAGCTAGCAAGGGACATAAAAAGGCAATAAGAGGTTTCTACAAACAAGAGAAAGAGGAAGGAAAGTGTAGGTCCACTATTAGTGTGGACGGACAGTTAAAATGGACAGCACCAGGAAGGCCAAGGTGTTTAATACCTGTTCTGCCTCAGTATTCAGTAAAAAGGTTAACTGTGACCAGATGCTTAACACAATTAATAATAATGAAGAAAAAGGAACACAAGCCAGAATAGGGAAAGAACAGGTTAAAGAATATTTGGATAAGCTAGATGTAGTCATGTTGGCAGGGCCTGATGAAATTCATCCTAGGGCACTTAAGGAACTAGTTGAACCAATCTCAGAGCCATTAAGAACTCCTGGAAGATGGGTGAGGTCCCAGAGGAACAGAGAAGGGCACAGAGAGTACCTAACTATAAAAAAGGGAACAAAGAGGACCCAGGGAATTATAGACCAGTCAGCCTAACTTGGATATCTGGAAAGATAATGGAATAAATTATTCAACATGTAAGCACCCACAGGATAACAGGGTGATAAGTAATAACCAACATGGATTTTTCAAGAACAAATCATGCCTAACCAACTTAATTTCCTTCTTTGACAGGGTTGTTGGCCTAAGGGATGGGGGAAGCAATAGATGTGATATCTTTATTTTAGTAAGGATTCTGACACAGTCATGACATTTTCATAAGCAAACTACAGAAACGTGGTCTAGATGAACATACTGCATGGTGGGTGCATAACTGGTTCAAAAACTGTACTCTAAGAGCAGCTATCAATGATTTACTGTCAAACTAGCAGTCACATCTAATGGGGTCCAACAGGGGTTAGTCCTGGGTCTGGTACCATTCAATATTTTCATTAGTGACTTGGATAATGGAGTGGAGAGTCTGTTTATAAAATCTGCAGATGACCCAAAGCTTGGAGGAGTTGCAGCACTTTGGAGGACAGAATTAGAATTCAAAATGGCTTTGATAAATTGGTCTGAAATCAACAAGATGAAATTCAATAAAGACAAGTGCAAAGTATTACACTTAGGATGGAAAAATCAACTACAACATGGGGAATAACTGGCATGGTGGTCATACTGTTGATACGGATCTGGGGCTTATTGTGCATCACAAATTGAATATAAATCAACAACGCGATGCTGTTACGAAAAAGGTAAATGTCTTTCTGGGGCGTGTTAACAGGAGTGTGGTATGTAGGATCCAGGAGGTAATTGTCTCGCTCCACCTGGCTCTGGTGAGGCCTCAGCTGAAGTATTGTGACCAGTTTTTGGTGCCACACTTTAGAAAAGATGTGGACAAACTGCAGAGTCCAGAGAAGAGCAACAAAAATAATAAAAAAGTTTTAGAAAAAGTGATCTATAAGGAAAGGTTAAAAAACTGGGCACGTTTAGTCTTAAAAAAAAAAAAACAAAGACTCAAGGGGACCTGATAATAGTCTTCCAATATGTTAAAGACTTGTATAAAAGAGGATGGTGATCAATTTTCTCCATGTCCACTAAAGGCAGGACAAGAAGTAATGGGCTTAATCTGCAGCAAGGGAGATTTAGGTTAGATGTTAGGAAAAACTGTAAAGATAGTTAAATACTGGAATAAATTATCAATGGAGATCATGGAATCCTAATCATGCAGGTTTTTAAGAGCAGGCTTGACAAACACTTGTCAGGGCTGGTCTAGGTTTACTCGCTCCTGCCTCAGCGGAGTACGGTGGGGTGGGGGGGGGTAGGCTGTACTAGATGACATCTCAGGATTCCTTCCAGCCCTACATTTTAATGATTCTATAATCAAATCCACAGTGATGGTTACAATTACACACAAATGGAATTCATACTTAACACAGACATATTCCCTAATCTGTCTCAGCCTCTGCTTACCCCATACCAAGGTGACAGGCTTTGCTGCAGGTATCAGCCACAAACCGTACAAGGCCCCTAAATGCAGCAGGCTCATGAGGATGATGTTCCTCCAGACGTATCTCCTGGCAGGCTTGGGGCCCTCCTTCTCACAGTAGCTCTCGTCAAAGATATCGTCTGTCATGCCCCGGTCTCCTCCCAAGTCCTCTTGGTTGGACAGGGCCTTCTCAATGCCTGCTCCCCCATTCCTAGTCGCTCTGGTGGTAGCAGTGGTGGTGAAGGAGGGGAGATCCTTGGAGAGCTAGAGTTGGGAGGGGACATTAAAAACAAACAACATTGTGATGGTTACAATCCGGTCCCCGACACAAGGATCAAGAGGGGCTGGCTCTGGGCTGCTGATCCACCATCACACCCATCTCCTAGGACAGAGGGGCATTAGGAGCAGGTCTCCCCCAGCCAGGGCTGGCTGTCTCACTCAGACAGTGCCTCTCCATCAGAGCCCCTTCCCCCCCCCCACTCATATCCTGAGGGGGGGTGTGGGGAGAGAAGGTCATTAAAGCAGCCTCTGAATGGTAGCAGGACTCAGTCTCAGGTTCTCCAGCCAGGCCCAGCAGCACCCATCCAATGACATGTTGTTCTCCTGCGGTGCAATCAACCCCTCACCCCGGGGTCAGTGAGAAGCCTAGATACCACTTCATCCCTAGGCACCACTCAGAATCTGTGGTGCCCTGCACAGGGGTGGATCTCAGCCCTGGGGCTTTGGGGGGCATGGAGAGTGGGAGCGAAGGTGTTTAAAGACACACACTAGCAGAGATCCCCTTGAAGGTGCAGGGAATTGCTCTCATTTGGCTTTGTCAATGAGTGTTTTACATTGATCACTCAAAGGTCCCTAAGAACTTGGGCTGGGCTCATTTCTTTCAGCCACCGATAAATTACATCATGCAAACCAGCAACAGGGGGAATGAGATTCATAATTTGTTCCTGGGGCTGCTCCCAATACCAATTCTTTGCCTTTCTACAGCCCCTTCCAATGGAGAATCTCACGGCAGTTCAGACATTACTGGGTTAAGCCTCACAACCCCTTTGTGGTGTCTTTTCACCTCTCTCTGCCTTACTTTTCTTGTCTGTTGAGTGGGTAGAGTGATACTGGCTGACATCAGTAAACCAACTTGGTTTAGAGGGAAAGTAAAGGCAACTATAAAACCATATTTTATATATATACACACACACAGTAACTCCTCGCTTAATATTGTAGTTATGTTCCTGAAAATTGCTACTTTAAGTGAAAAGATGTTAAGCGAATCCAATTTCCCCATACGAATTAATGTAAATGAGGGGGTTAGGTTATAAACAAAGAGTTTAATATTGTACACAGCAATGATGACTGTGAAGCTTGTTTGAAGTGGTAAAGTCAGAGGGTGGGATATTTCCCAGGGAATGCCTTACTGCTAAATGATGAACTAGCACTCGGTTGAGCCCTCAAGGGGTAACACATTGTTATTAGTGTAGCCTCACACTCTACAAGGCAGCACAAATGGAGGGAAGAGACAGCATGGCAGAGGGAGACAGAGAGACACACACTGTGTGTGTGTGTGTGTGTGTGTGTGTGTGTGTGTGTGTGTGTGTGTGTGAGAGAGAGAGATATG